ATCCCTGTTCTATCCCTGCCTCATCCCTGCTCCATCCTTGTTCCCCATCCCTGCTGTATTCTTGCATCTCGTAATCTATATTTTACATAGATGCGATAGATATATGTATGTTAAATGTCTCAGCTTAACTGATGTGAAAACAAGACATTGCAAATTTTGGAGCCTAATATTTGAAAGCAATTTCCTTTCTTCAGCACTAATTCAGTTTCTGTGTGTCTAGCTTTCTGGATCAACTGTTTTGGTGCTCTTAATCCTAAAATTACTGAGCAGTTTGGGTTGGAAGGGATCTTAAAACTCATCCATCCGACCCCTGCCATGGCAGGGACACCTCCCACTGTCCCAGGCTGCTCCAGCCCCAGTGTCCAACCTGGCCTTGGGCACTGTCAGGGATCCAGGGGCAGCCACAGCTGCTCTGGGAATTCCATCCCAGCCCTGCCCGCCCTGCCCACCCTGCCAGGGAACAATTCCTAATTCCCAAGATCCCATCCAGCCCTGCCCTCTGGCAGTGGGAAGCTCTAGGCCAGGCCAGATCTGTGAAACGCCCACAGAATCACAGTGTCTGTGTTTCAGATTGAGACACCAAAGCCCGCACACATCCCTGTGACTACAGGAGCTTGGCTCGGGGTCATCCTCAAGAGATTTGTGGGTTGGACACACTGGGAGCCCTAAGAATCATAGAATGGTTTGGGCTGGAAGAGACTTTAGAGATCATCTGGTTCCAAAATCCTTAAATATCAGGCAGGACACAGCCACACACCAGTCTGCAGGCATCAGACACCCAGTCCTGTCCTGCTACCTGCTGATGGCACCATCAGTGAAGCCTCACTTTGCTGATTACGAGCTCCTGCCTGTTGCATTCCAGATATTACAGAAGGATTGGGGCTTTAGCATTGTAATCATTAAAAAGGATTTGCCATCTTAATTCATTTCTCCTTCTGGGGTGCAGAGGCTATCTGCTCATCTGAGAAATCCCCCAACAGCTTGTCCTCAGTTGAGCGGCTTCTATCCAATTTAAGGAGGAGTAAAGATACTTATGTGACAATCCCAGATTGAAAAATGAGATGAGGGAATGTAGGATTAAGCAAAAACCACTTGAAGATAACCCCTAAATTTCCTGAGAAGCATCAGCAACAATGAGTGATCATAAAGTTACAGCAATCACACCAAAACGGGCACATGGCTCAGTTAAAAATTTAAGCAGCCCTGGGAAGGGGCAGAAGCATCACACACTTTTCTAAGCACTGTCAGGTCACTCATGTCACTGTTCAATGCCTCAGCACTCCTGGCTAGTAAATAAATGGAGGGAAAGGCACAGAGGGGATTTTTGGTGGTGCCTTGAGATTTGATACACGTGCATCCATTCCCCATTCTCGTCCACTTGGGAGCAAAAGCTTAGAAATAAAAAATCTGAAATACAAACCAGTAGAGGCAAAAAGAAGAAAAAATGTGTCCTTTGAGGGCAGAGAAAATGAAAGAAAGCATCATTATAATGTCAGGCCACAGGTAAAGTCAGCACAGGCTGAACCCCAGATGATGCTCTGTGAAAACTGAAAGCACTTTTAGCTCCAACTTCCACCCCCTGTGTTCCCATTTATCAACACCTGCTTTCTTGAACCACCATTTCACCTCAGAAAAGATATTGCCAATTTGCTCAGAAAAAAATATGGAGGGGTTGCAAACAACCCAGAAAACACCTAAAACCAAACTGCCAGCGTAGGTTAAACCAGAGTAAATCAGTGACAATATTCTGACTTTCTCATATTAATGCTAGGGGTACTGATAGTAAGTCACTAATCAATAATCAACTGAAATATTGCTGGATCAAAGAGCAAGAATAAAAGCCTCTCCTCACCCCTGGACTCTTGCTGATACAACAACAATTCAACATTTCGTGAAAATGCTGCTTTTTTATGAGGTTCAAGCATAAACAAATACACTTGGTACCTGAAAAGAAATTAGATCCTCATTCTGGTGAAGAATGATGACAAAATCAGCACCTCTGAATTACTGAGCTTTGAGAGAAATTCTGAATGGAGCCTTGCAGGCAGCAGTCCTGACAAAGGCATGGTTAGGGGAGCTCTTGTGATTTCCTTTTTGAATGCTGTTGTACTTTGGTCTGGTTCATGTTGAAATTAACCAGAAAAAGCTTCATCCTTGAACTTTTTTGTAGCCACAAAGGCTACAAATGAACCACCTGTAGGGCAAAGTCAATGAGAAGGCAGCAGAATCTCAGAATCCCAAGATCACTGAGGTTGGAAAATCCCTCCCAGATCACCAGTCCCAGTTGTGCCCCATGCTACCTTGTCCCCAGCCCAGAGCACCCAGTGCCACCTCCAGGAATTGCTGGGACACCTCCAGGGATGGGGATCCAACCCTCCCTGGGCACTTCCAATCCCTGCCCACCCTTTCCATGGGGAAATTCCTGCTGCTGTCCCCCCTGAGCCTGCCCTGGCCCAGCCTGGGGCCGTTCCCTCTCTTCTTGTTGTTTGAAGCCTGCAAGATGGGCTGAAAGTGTACAGTATTCCACATGAAAGGGTTAAAACTGCTTTCTATCGTTTTTTCCCTCTCCATTTGGACATGAGGTGCTGGTTGTGGTTATTCCTGATGCAGAACTCCCCCTCTGATGATCAGGCAGCAAGGTGCCACTTGTCTGCTCCCCATCTCCTACTGAGACATTCCCACCCCCAGGAAGGAAGCACTGCGGCTCTTATTGAACTTTAAACAATGCTTTTTTTTTTTTTAATCTGCCTCGAAAGGTAATTATATTCAGTTCAAGTCAGTGCAGAGGCTCACAGTTCTGTCAGGGCTGTGGAGCAGTCAGAGAGGGAGAGGTTAGACGTGGCACCCTGCTCACTCCTGGTGTGTCACCACTGTCCAGCCACCCCCTGCCACACAGAGTGACCAGATGGGCACTCGGGGACACGCTGGGATGCCAGCTGTGCTGCAGCAATCGTGCACAGGCTGGGTTTGCATGCCACAGAAATGGATAATTTATCCCTGTGGCTGCATCTCCTCGGGCACACACAGCACAAATCATTTCCAGCTGTTTGCAGCCACCCCCCAGTGCCATGTCAGGTCACCACCAAGCTTCCTAAATTAACCAAAGTGAGGTGTCAGCCACTTTACAGGATCACCTCTTTAATATATCGTTCTTGTTCTAGTTCACAATGCACTGACAATGCTATGGAAGCACGGACAGAAAACACAAAATTTATTTCGTATTAAAATATACAAAAAATCTTGTCTCAGTTCCAACACATTCCTCCCCTCTGTGAAACTAACCAGGCCAAAAAGCCCTTCTGCATCCTTCTGGGATAGGATGCAAAAAACTAATCCTTCTACAACTCTTCTCTGCTTCCCTGGCAGGGTGGGCAGGGCTGGCACAGAGCAGCTGTGGCTGCCCCTGGATCCCTGGAATGCCCAAGGCCAGGCTGGACACTGGGGCTGGGAGCAGCCTGGGATGGTGGGAGGTGTCCCTGCCATGGCAGGGGTGGAGCAGGATAGGCTTTAGGACCCAAAATAGTCTGGGATTCCAGGATTACCTTTTTGGCTCCCGCATCCCCAAAGGATCTCATCCCTGAGAAATCCCCATGCAGACTCCAGACCTTCCTCCACCTTCAAAGAAGAGTCAGGGGGGAAAAACACCCGAAAAGAAAAACCCCACAAAAATCCCAGTGTGTATCACAACCCAGCTGTCCCTGGTTGTGCAGCACCACGGGACACCAGGCATCAGGGATCAGATTATACTGGGAGTTTCAGGATAAGTGGTGGGATTTTGGGTGGATTTGTCTGCTAGGCCAACCGAGACATTTAATTTTAGAAGCGCTTATCTGGCAGCACTCTCCAAAGAGAACAGCTGCCCACGAGTGCCCTGAGGGCTGTGCCCAGGAGGGGAGCTGTGCAAAAAGGAAGGAGTCTCAGACTCCCTGCGGGTCCCAGAATCACAGAATGATTCGGGTTGGACACTGATGGTCACCTTGTTCCAACCCCCTGCCATGGGATCCCCTCCTTGAGGCCACCTGTGCCTGCCAACCTCTCACTCATTAGCCTTAACTGACTTTATTCC